TGGCGGGAGTGCTGAGGGCGGTGGCGGACTCCGCAGGTGAATCCGGGTGCAGTGGGCCGGGTGCGATGGACCGGACCGGGCCGGGAGGCAAGGAGGTCCGGGGCGGCAGAGCTCTGGGGCCTGAGGCGCGTTCTTGGCCGCTGTCACCTCCTGGGCCGAAGGGACAGTAGCTTGCTTGGGTCGTTCTCGGCGTGAGCCTCACAGCCACCTGCAGCGCGCAGTTGCGGTCACCCCTGATTTGTGGGCCAGATGGGCGAGGGGAGAGGCGAGGCGGGAAGAGAAGTGACAGGAAGACACAGCGAATGCTGTAGACCCTGTACCAGAAGAGACGGGGGAGGACCACGAAGGGGCAGGTCTTAAAAGACAATGAGTGAGCCTCACACGTCTGGGATCCTAAAGGAACTCCTGAAGGCCGGCGGGGTAAGGGATATCCGAGGAGTGTTTGACCCTCATGCCCCGAGATCAAGGATTTGGAAGTTCCTGGAGTTCGCTCCACCATTAAAAAAAAAAAAAAAAAAAAAAAAAAAAAAAAAGCTGGATAGAATCAGTGATGACAGATGCTCAAGTATTCCAACTCTCTCACTGTCTTCTCTTTCTTTTTCTTCTTTTACTGCTTTCATGAAGGCAAGAATTTCCCTTAATCTGAGATTTCCTTTTGGGAATAAAGTTAGAACGATCAATAAATAACCCTTCCTGCAGTAAAACGCCAAGATGATAGTAATCACTAAGTACTTAAATACAATCAGTAATGTACTGAAATCAGATCCCATACAGTAAAGTGTTCAGTGTGAAAGGAAGTGAGTGGTGTCCCTGTCATAAAAAGTAGTCAACTGTGGACTAATGAATGGAGCAGGGGATACAAAAGCACTGCGTGCCTGAGACGTTGCCAAATACAAGTAGCCTTAGCTGTTTTGTTTTCTGAAGTATGTACTAGAAATTGAACGCAGGACTTATTCATGCTAAGCAAGTATTTTCTGACTGAGCTGCATCCCTGGTCCTTTTATTTTTAGGACAGGATCTTGCTAAATTGTCCCAGCTGGCCTTTCCTCCACGTCATGTCATTTGTACGGGATGACTTTTGCTTTTTGATTTTATGAAGGTGGCAAAAGAGGTTGAGTAACTAGTTTCACCAGTACAGCTAATAGTAAAGTCAAGGTTTAAACCAGATCAGTCAAGTACCAGAGCCCATATTTCTAGCCATAAGGTACATTGCCTCTTAGGTGAAAATATGTATTATGTGAAAGCTGCACACCTTTGCAAATCTTCTAAGATCTACTGAATTGTGCACCTCAGGTGGGTGAACTTTATGATATGTACATTATAAGCCTTTTAAAAACTATTAAGATGTAAAATGGTTTAAAACTTACTATTTTTAGTCACAATTCTATGATACTTTAACTCCAGGTTATTATCTAATGTCTGTAAATAGTAAGTACCCTTACTGTATTGAGTATAAATTTCAAAATCTTAATTTTTACAATGTATGTAGATACTGTTGTTTTTCTATCTTTCTAGTATATGGAGCAGTTTGTTTCCTATTAAAGGAAAAAGTACTCTTCCAGAGAACCAAGTATTAAGGTTATAGAGACTTCAGTGAGGCTTCCAATAACATGAATTGCTTGCACTTCCTTTTCAGAGCCAGGGTTTTTGAAATATCCCTAAAGCAAATTGGCATAGAATGTAAAACTTTCCTTTCACTGGGACACCCTATAATTTGTTCTTTTGAAATTTCTGTACCCTTGCTGGTAACAGGATGCCTGCCCAAAGGTCCTATTGCCCCATCTCTTATAGAGATAACTCTGGTAAAGAGAATTTAGAAATACCTGAGCTCAGAATTTGACCTGACAACTTCTTAATGTGCATGCTACCCAAAAGCCCACAGATCCTATCTATCTACAGTAGGTTTTGGGGTCTTTTGTTTGTTTGGGGCCGGGGTACGTATGGAGGGTTTTGAGATAGAGCTGCACTGTGTAGTTCAAGCTGACTGTGAACTCACTCTGTATTCCAGGCTGGCCTAGAACTGGCAGTCCTCCTGCTTCAGTGTCTTAGCACTGAGATTACAAGTGTGAGCCACCAGCTACAGTGTTTTTAAAATATACTTTCCAGGGGCTTTGGATTTAGCTCAGTGATTCCGCTGCCTGCCTTGCAAGTGCAAGGTCCGGAGTTCTATCCCTGGTACGAAAAGAAAAGAGAGAGAGAGAAAGAAAATTAAATATACTTTCTATAGTAAACTTCCATTGCAAATTGCACATAGAATAGAGATGCAGAGAAAGAGAGAAGATAGCTTAACCAATGATTTTTGTGTTTGTTAGCATTTTTAAAATTAATCACCACACCCTGATGAGATAGGCTCATGGTTGCCACAGAAAACCCTGCATTCATCATTGTTATTAACACAAGAATGGATGAATTTATAGTGCAACCAAACCAGGAAATTAGATATTTAGTGGGTGATACTAACATTTTTTAAAACGGCAATAAAATACAATAGAAAATATCA